CACCCCTGAGAAGTGTCTGTCCGGGGTGAGGGTCGGGACCCTTTAAGCACAGCCCTCGGCTAGCCTGAGACAGCATCTCCACGCTCTAAGTCCTCCTCTGATGCCCTGCCGGCACTGCTTCCGGCCATCCTTAAGCCCTGTTCAGGGTCCACTTAATGTGGACATGCTAGTTCGAATTAGCAAAACGCTAATTCGAACTAGTTTTAAGTTCTAGACGTGTTAGTTCGAATTAGCTTAGTTCGAATGAACTAATTCGAACTAAGTTAGTTCGAATTAGCGCTCTAGTGTAGACATACCCACAGTTACTATTTTGTATACTGTGGCTTGAATACCACGTGTGATCCATTTTGAATATATCTGAACCTAATTCGAAATACCTACTCAGTGCCGCATGTAGCCACAGGCACGGAGTCTGCACTAACGGGGATTTAAAAATGGCGGTGCCCGGCAAGATGCAAATGAAGCCCAGGATATTTAAATATCCCGGGCTTCATTTGCAACTTCGAACGCCTACATTAGCCAACCTAGTTCGAACTAGGGTGGCAGTGTAGACATACGCTAGTAGGTTATCAGCCATTAGTGGTTGAATCTCACTGACATGACAGGAGGCCCCTGCTTTACGATGGCCTGATTTACAACCCCTCGCACTTACGACCTTTTCCGTAAGTGCGGAAGGGGCCAAAATAAAGAAGTTACTCACTTTGGTGCAGTAATTATGGTTCTTCGAGATGTGTGTCTCAGTGGGTGCTCCACTGTAGGTGTCGGGCTTGTCCCGGCACCGCAGGTCAGAGACTTTCAATAGCCGTAGTCAGCCAGACCATGCATGCACAGTCAGCATCTCGCACCATTCGTATCTCTTTGCTGTTGTGCACGGTCCAGCTCCTGCCAGTTCCTCTCACCACTCAGTTATCTGCAATGACAAATGAAGACAAGACTCCAGAGCGGGGAGGAGGGAGGGACGTGGAGCACCCACGGAGACACATACCTCAAAGAACCATCATTACTGCACCAAGGTGAGTAACTTCTTCTTTGAGTGGTGTCCCCATGGGTGCTCCACTGTAGGTGACTACATAGCAATACTCAGAATACACTCCGGAGTCAGGGTTTATCAATGACCAAAAGTACTGCTGAAGCCACAGCGGAGTCCGCGGCCAACCGTTATATAATGGCATAATGGTTCATGAATGTAGCATTCAATGACCATGTAACCACTTGACAGATATCGCTCAATAGGACTCCTGTATGAAGGCTGTAGAGGTAGCCATTGATATCATTGAATGAGCTCTTGTTTGGGATTGGAGGGATTTATTTTGAATGAATAGCTGGTGGTGATGCATGTCACTATAAGCTTTGCGATACATTGGGTGGATAAGGCATTGCCCTTGGATCATTACACAATTGATACTATCAGACGATCTGTCTTACGCCACTGTCGGATTCTGTCAATATAAAAAGCAAGAGCTCGGCATACGTCAAGAGTATGGAGAAGAGCTTCTCGTGGAGAAGAATGAGGTTTTGGATAGAAAGTGGGCAATATGCTGTGAAACTTTGAACACACTTTGGGAATGAAGGCAGAATGTAATCATAGAATCACTGAATCTTTGATGAACAATGTAAATGGAGGCGTTGCCATCAGGATGGCCAATTCACTAACTCTACGCGTAGAAGTAATTGCTAACAGAAAAACCAATTTCAAGCATGTGGAGTGATATCGTGGCCAATGGCTTGAAGGGAGGGTACATTAAGGTATCCAGCACCAGATCCAGATTCCAGAAGGGAGGTGGTGGTCTACGTGGGAGATTGAGGTTTGTCAAACCTTTCATTTAGTAGTTGGGTGAGCGAATACTGGCACCCTCTCTATGGAGTGATGAAAAGTACTAATTGCTGCTAGATGTACTTTCAAAGAAGAGAAAGAAAGGCCCGTTGGTTCCAGGTGAAGGACGTACTCCAGGATCTGATGGAGGAGAGAGGTATATAGGTCAATTTGATTATCTGAGCACCAGCCCACAAATCTTTGCCATTTTGCAAGGTAAATGACTTTTGTAGACTCCCTTCTGCTATGCATTAAGGCAGTTTTTACTTGCTCCGAGCAGAAATGTTCAGATGCCTTGAACCAGTCAGGAACCAGGCTGTTAAATGTAGAGACTTTGGCCCGGGATGGAGGAGAGAGCACCAATTCTGAGAGAGCAGGTCTGGTAGAGGAGGGAGA